TTGAGAAACAAAAATGCCAGGGTGAAGGGGTTCTCATATGTCTTAAACTATTACCCTGAACCCACAAAAGAGGATATGTAAAGTCACATGCTAATTACTAATCAAAGGACCAAAATCTGTCGGAAATTGCAGGTATCTGTCCCATCTGAAGTTTCCAGGGAGGAGCTATCAACAATTTTAGAAATGTGATACCTCCAGCTTGTTCTTTCTCAAGGTTGATTTGGCGATTCAGAGTCTTTTATGGTTCCATACGCACTTTAGGATTGTTTGTTCTAGCTCTGTGAAAAATGCTGCTGGCATTTTGATAGGGATTTCATTAAATCTGTAGATTACTTTGGGTAGCATGGACATTTTAACAATATTGGTTCTTCCAAACCATGAGCACGGAATATCTTTCCATGCTTGTGTTGTCTTCTGTTTCTTTCCCCAGTGTTTTATAGTTTTCTCAGTACAAGCCTTTCACCTCCTTGGTTAAGTTTATTCCTAGGCATTTTATTTTCTTTGGTGCAAATGTAAATGGGATTGTTTTCTTAATTTCTTTTTCTGCTATTTCACTAATAGTGTATAGAAATGCAACTGTTTGACTTTGTACATGCATTTGGCTGTAATGAACAGAAAACCCAACTCAAAGTGAATATATTTGAGCAAAAGCATACAACTAATGATGATGATAATAATAATAATTAGTAGTAGTATGAGACTAGTTTTGACCAGGCACTTAATCCTCTGATCCTTACAGAAACTCTATGAAGTAGGGATCATTATCTCATTTTAGACTCTAGGAAGCCAAGGCTGAGGCAGATCAAGTCAATTGTTTAAGATCTTGTTGCTTTTAAGGGGAAGAGCTGGGATGTTTGAACTTCAGGCTCATGGCCCTTCCACTAAATGTAAAGACTCAAGGCCCCTCCATCTCCCAGAGGTTATAACCAACTAGAAGCAGCCCACAAATTTGCTCATTAGAGAACAGAGGCAGATCTTAACCAGAAACTAGCTCTATGAGGCTGCCTTTTCCAGGTGCCTCCAGCAGGAGACCATTTCAATGCAGTCAAACAGTGCTATTCGAATATAACCTACCATTATTGTTGCCATCATTATTATTAATTGGCACTTCCAAAAACAGGTTAAGAATACGTACACTGGATCTCGTCCACCCTGATAATAGGAGCCGCCAAATTAAATGATTAGCTTTGATGCTGAGGAGAGACCAGTCAGGAGTTGTGAGGACCACAGTCCCGCATTAACAATTGGCTCAAAGTAGCGGCTGGTGTGGTTACTGGTAGGACTCTGGGCAAAGCATTGGGTTTCTCTGGCTTGCAAGTAGGTCCCTCAGGCAAGGTGGCCAGAGGCGACAACTAATACTCCTTCACAGGTTGAATGGCCGTGGTTGGTGACTCCTGCCATGTTTGTCTCGACTTCTTGGCTATCACCACCAAAATGTACATCTGGTGATTATTCACTTTTAAGATAAAAGAATGGAGTGGGCAACTCTTCATTCTTTGAGGACTCTCCCTATGCTTCTCTTAGGCTTCTGGCTCTCGATCTGCATCACTCTGCCCTTTAAGGCCTGCAGCCTTTTCACCAGATCTGGGTTCCACATTTGTGTAAGGGGCAGCAGAACAAGGTGGCTGAAGCTTGGCCCAGGGGCAGGATATATCTGAGTCTGAGTCCCTGTTCTCACACTCACTGTAACTCCTAGCATAATCATCTTACTAAATAAAAGATTAAATGAAACAACACATAGAAAATGCCTACAACATGGCAGAAGCCCAGTGCAAATTAGCAATTATGATCATCATCAATTTAATTGCCAAACCCCATACCCTTCATATATCTCATTACTCAAAATGACTCCAATGCATCAGACAAGGAGAACCAACTTACTGAGACCCCTTTCTCCTTTATCCTTTTCACTTCCCCATCTTCTGGTCATTCTGCTTATCTTCTCTCTTCCTTTCCTTGCTGTTCTTTTTTGTATCCTTCAGAAGTGTGGGATTTAAAAATGTTAAATAGTCTTGATAGTATCTTTCTACCAAATGGCTCTTGAGCATTTACTAAAATGAAGGGTGAGATCATACAGCTGCCCTTCGATTCTTAAAAAAAAATAAAATAAAATCCAAAGATGAAAAATTCCTTGTATTTAAGTCACAGTGTGCTTGCCCACCAAGACTGGAACTGCCCATTGACACGGGGGCGGGGGGCTTCACTTCCTCGGAAGACCCTTTTCTGGCCACACTTTTGTTCAGTCCTTGCATTTGTGCATACTCATTAGATTCTTACACTTTTATTTATCACAGTTCATAAAATTTGTGTGTGTGTGTGTGTGTGTGTGTGATTTAATTAATCTCTGTATTTCTCTCAGCAGGCTCTCTATTCCAGGACAATAGACTGAATCTATTGCTGTTTTCTCTCTATCATTATTTTCTAGCACAACGTCTGGTACAGAAGAGATGCTTGATAAAGATGTGTTGATACTGTTGCTCTTGTCATTATGTGCTCTGGTTGTTGCTCTTGTGATTTTGGCTATTAGAATTTTGTATCTACTGAGCCATTAGGAATTGTGTTTTGAGGAGGAAAGAGCTGTGGCATTTTGAGTTAGCCAATCTGGCCTGGTCAAATGAGAAGCTAAGGGCCACTAGGGTATTTGGAGCTCTCTGAGAGCCAAATGCCCATTAAGAGCTTGGCACTTAGAACAGGAGCTTTCAATTGATGTCCAGGATAGAGAGAGTAATAGATTCTTTCCAAAGACATGAGCTAAGACAAACATGCAGGACCAGATATCTAATTCACAGGGTCCAGTTCAAAATGAAAATGCAGAGCCCCTTGTTCAAATATTATTAAGAATTTCAAACAGAGCCATAAATACAGAGAGAACAAACTGGTGGTTGCTAGAGGGGAGGGAGGTGGGAAGATGGGCAAAAAGGGTGAAGGGAAGTGAGAGGCATAGGCTTCCAGTTATGGAGTGCGTAAGTCACAAGGATGAAAGGTACAGCACAGAGAATATAGTAAGTGGTATTGCAACAGCCTTGTATGGTGACAGAGGGTAGCGACGCTTGTGGTGAGCAGAGCATAATGAATAGAGATGTCGAATCACTATGTTGTACTCCTGACACCAACGTTAACACTGTGTATCAACTAAACTACAATTGAAAAAAAAATAAAAATTAAAAATAAAACAATTTCAAGATGATGATAGAGAGCATCAAACCAAGTATAGGGTCCTGTCTGAGACTGCATAGGTTGCATATCCATGAAGCTGGCCTTGCAAAATTTACACTTAATCAGGAAAATCTGGAACATGAGGTTACAATTTTCTGTTAGACAATCAAGGGAGTTTTGTATTTATGAAAAAAATCAGATCTTTTAAATATCCAGATATATTTCCTTTCCCTGCATACTGAGTTTGTGTCTTCCAAAATAATGGCTCCTTCTGTCCCTTTATCCAATGGGGCCATCTCAGTGTTTCCAAAGGTTCTATTAAGGCAGACTGGTTTGCCCCTCCGTAAATAGCCCTGAACTCCTTGCTATACTGAAACACCCCACTGGCTCTTCAGCCATGCAGAGCTGGCCTCCATCTGAGGCTTCAGAGTCCAAATGCCATGGATTTTGAAGCCAAAATGGGTTCCAATCCCAGCTCCACTATTTATAGTTCAATGACTTAAAGCAAATTACTTAGCTTCCCTAGAATCTCGGTTTCCTCATCTATAAAATGTAAGTGATGCTACCCAGCCCAAGAGGTTGGCCTTGAGGATTCATTCAATAAGGTAAAATGCTTAGAGGGCTGAGCACAAACGCACACAACAAAATGAGGACACAGCCTCGTTACATTTTGCCTCTGCTTTAGTCCAAAACTGAATGGGGGAGCGCAGAGTGCCTTCTAGCAGGGGAACCCCAGCTCTCCCCGCTCTCCGTCACTGAGCCCTATAAATAACTTAGCTAAGTCACCGTCTCCCTTGGAGTCGCTGTTCCTTAGGGTGAGGAAAGAGGGTGTTGTTGCAGGTGGTCCCTCTTGGCTGACTCCTTCCCGGGTTTTCTCTTCCTTCCACTACCCCTCCTAGGGAACCCCTCGCTGGCTTCGGCGCGTGCGCGGCCTGGCTGCAGGAGCCCCCTCGGCCGCGGGCCCCCACTCGCCCCCCGCCTCCCCCCTCCCGGCGGTCGCCGCGCAGTTCCACCCCGCCCCGCCCCGCCGCCCCAGGTATCTATCTCCCTGGCTATGTGGCCTGGGAGGGACTGGAGATCACTGCTCAGTGAGCTAAAGGACCAAGTGGGTGTGAGAGTGCCCACCAGCCAAAAGGATAAGGTTGAAGCGGTGCCACCCACGCCAGGTGGAGCAGCTCAGACCTCAGGGACCCCTTAGGTCAGAGCATTGGGGTTTGTGCTCCACTTTGCCCCTAAGTACTTGCAGAATCTCACAGGCAAATTGCTTAAATTCTCTGAGAATTAATTCCTTTGTCCATAAAATAGGCATAATAACATCTTTCTGTATTGCACAGGATTCAATTAGCCAATGAATGAAGAGAGACTTTGCAAACCATGAAGAGCTAGGCAAGTAAAAGTGGTCATCTTTTCCAAGGAAGGGAGAATTCAGACAACTCTCAAACCAGTTTAGGCCTAGGATGGACTGGACAGAGACATCCATACCTGGGGTTGTCCTGTGTGGCTGTGCAGGTTGTGTTGTGCAAATCCAGGGAGTGCTTTTCACATTTGTGGTCATGTGTATGGCAGTTTTTTTTTTAATATTTCATTAATTTTTTTGACAGAGAGAGACACAGTGAGAGAGGGAACACAAGCAGGGGGAGTGGGAGAGGGAGAAGCAGGCTTCCCGCTGAGCAGGGAGCC